CCCCCCCCCCCCCCCCCCGCCCAGATGACCCTGCAGAGCAGGAGGTGGCCAGTTCCTGGATTCCGGCCATCTGAGTGCACACACAGCGACCGCATCTGCAACCGCATCTGCAGACGGGTGCCGTGCCTTCCAGATACAGCCTCAGCCGCCAAGTGGGGATGACAGGCTGGTCTGTGGCTGGGGGAGGGAGGCGTCTCCACTGCACCCAGAGGACCCTCCCCTCCTCCCTCTGTCCCTCCTCCCACTCAGGGCCTCTGCTCTTCTCTGCCCACCTCCCTTGCAGGCCCGTCCCTTGTCCCCCAGCAGAAACTTGCTCATACTAGGGAGACCTGGATTCAACACATTAAGGTGTTGTGAGGCCATCGTGGGCCAGGTGTCTGCAGGCGCAGTTTGGGACTTCTCACGATGGGCAGGGCTTTGCACCCAGCTGTCGCTGGTAGGCCCTGGGGACGGAAGAGCAGCAGGGCCTGGGCATGCCCTGGTCTCTGCAGAAGCCCTCGTAGCTTCTCCCAGCACCGCTGGCTCCAGTCTCAGCCTCAGGGACTGGAGGGGGCCAGTAAAAGCGGAGGGAAGGAGGGAGCCAGGCGGCCAAGGGGAGAGGGGACAAACGCTGGGAGGACACACAGTCGAGCCCATCCTACCTCCCAACCTGTGGCCCCATCACCCTTGGACACAATGACACCCTGCTCAGGGCCTGTGGAGAAACCAGGCCGCTTCACTTGCATCTTGGGCCCCTGGATCAGGTCAGCCCTGCGATGCTCACCATGGCCTCAGGCAAGTTCACCCAGAGCGGGCCTGGTGGGCGAGGCTCATCTGACTTTGGTTTTCTACCAACAGGTCACTTGGGATGCTGCACCGGGTAGAAAAGAGAACCCTGAATTTGGGGGTAGGATAGCCCTGAGTTCAAACCTCACTTTGGCCTCTAACCAGCTGTGTGACCTTGGGCAGGTCATCCCTTGTTATGGGCCGAGTTGTGATCCCTCTAAGTTCATGTGTTGAAGCCCTAACCTCTAGCATCTCAGAATGTGACTGTGTCTGGAGACGGGGCCTTAAAGGGTTAATTAAGGTAGCATGAGGTTATATGGCTGCACCCTAATCCAATAGGACCTGTGTTCTCAGAAGAGGAGACCAGGGCTGCTCAGGCCCAGAGAAAAGGCTGTGTGAGGACACAGTGGGAAGGCAGCCATCTGCAAGCCAAGGAGAAACCAGCCCTGATCTGCGACTTCCAGCCTCCAGAACTGTGAGAAAATAAATGCCTGTTGTCTAAGCTGCCCCATCAGTGGTATTTTGTTAAGGCCGCCCAAGTAGACTAACTAATTGTCCCCCTTCCTTTGAGCCTCTGCGTCCTCACCCATTAAATACCTCCCACAAGGGGCTGGTGTGTGGATTAAATAAAATCACACAGGGCAGCCACTAACCAGTGCCAGGCACCCCCGTGAGGGCTCAGTACATGCGAGGGTGTTTCTGCGCCCTGAATCTGGCCCCCGCACCTCCCCGGGGGGAGAAGCCATCCAGAAGACAGGGGTCCAGGTACCCCCACCCCTCCTGCTCTCTGGCCTCTCCTGATGGGAAAGGCCCCAGGACGGTGGGCCCGGCACATACGCTTGTGCACATACATGCATGCACACACACACACACACACACACACACACACACATGCATGCACACACACACGTGTTCTTACAATGGTCCCCGGTCCAGCTCATTGGCTGGACAGAAGACTCCCAGGGCTGGGCTGGTGTCCGATCCACCCTCTGAACTCCAACCCCACCCCAAGTTTGGGCCCCACTCGGCCAAGAGGGTGCCTGGGTAAATGGACCCGCCTCTGATGTTCCCCACCAGCCTCAGGCCTAGTGGGAGGCGGTGGGCACTTTGCCGTACAGCTGTGGGCACGAGGCTGTATGGCCAGCTCAGCTCAGGGCTGCAGGGAGCATTGGAAGCTCAGGAAGGCAACAGTGTCTGCACTGGGTGGTGGGTAGGGGGATGGGGAAGGAAAGGGCAACCTGGGATCAGAGCCGGCCACCCTCAGCTTCTGATCTGAGGGTAGCCTCAGATCAGAAGCTGTTTGCCTGTTTTGTCATGTCTGTTATACCGAGCCCCGGCCTGGAAAGTCCTCCAGGGCTGGCCCGCTGCATCCTGGAGCAATCCCTGCATCTCACACAGGGCTGGCCTGGAGCCAGAGTTCGACAGATGTTTGTTGACTGGCTTAACGAGCTGGTTGCTGCCCAGGGGTATAATCCAGGCGAGTCCAGCCGACCTGCCCTGGGCGCACCGCTCACTGCTGTTCACACTGGGGGTCCACGTGAGCTTCGTCTGTTTTGTTCTCTGCTGTTTCCCAGGGCCTAGAAGAGTGCTGACATTTAACAGGCACTCAGCAAACACATATTTTAATCAATGCTGAGGACACAGACATGAAGGGTCCAAATTTGGTGGAGAAAGCAGAAATATCAACAGACAAATGCAATTTGATGAGCTATCTCTTGTGAGAGAGATGATTCGAGGGGGCTGGGGGCCATAGACAGGGACTGTATGGCCAGCCTAGGAAGTCAGAGAAGGCCGACTTCCTGCAGAGGGACGAGACGGGCTTTGAAGGATAAAGAGAGTTTGACCACACAAAGACTATATGGAATGGTATTCCCGGGCTAGGTGGCAGAGGCAGGAATGATGGGAACCGTGGGTGGGAGGAGACAGGAGATGACCAGGCTGAGGGGCAGACAGGGCTGAGAGTATGCTGCAGATTCTGTCAAAACATAGGGCCCTCGGTGGAAAGGAGGTGGTCTTCTGTACTCCACCTGGGAAGGGGATTAGGCTGTTAACGGGGGGCCTGGCTGGCTGAGCAGAGCTCTAGCCCAGGAAAAGGAGACGCCTTTTCAAAAGGGCTTTTATTAAACACTCCCCACACGGTGCCTCTTGCCACAGGTGCCACAGCCCTGGGGTGCCCCCCAAGGCAACGGCCCTGTCAATGTCCCCCGTGGCCGAGGCTGCGCTCACCCACGTAGCCACGGAGCTGGCTTCACTTGGAGGTCCCAGTGCACGTCTGGCTGCTCCTGGAGGGGCTTGGGAACTGCGATGGGGCTGTGGGTGCTGAGAGCCCAGTGCAGGCTCTTACGCAGGGATCGGGGGAGGGCTGTCTCCTCACACACCCTGAGATGCTCCTGAGATGCTGGGAGGGTCCAGAGCATCCCAGCTCCATCCTGTGGGAAGAGGGGCGTGGGAGCAGCTGGGGCCAGGCCACCCTTCCTGAGGACAGTCCTGGGGAAACGGGAAGCCCTCCCCTGGAAAGACTGAGGATCGGATGGGCATGGGGGGCAGGGGCAGAGGGACTGGCCTGAGGGGCTGTGTGTGAACAGGGGCCGGACTTGGACTCTGCTTCAGGGGCCTGGAGAGTCCCTTCTCTCTCCGAGCCCGTTTCCCTTTCTGCCTAATGAAGAACGTGCCTCTAGGGGGCTATGACTCTCCTTCGGGAAGCATGTTGGGGGCCACTTATCACGTTGCTTAAGTGCCACGTTGGTCTACGCGCACTCAGTGGGTTGCGAGCACGTGTGACGTGTGGGCATCCCTGCTGGGAGAGTGTGTGCGTGCGTGTGTGGGTGTGGCTGAGTGTGAGTGTGTGGGGTGAGGGTGCGGGCTGGGTCTTCTGACGGCTTCTCCACCTGGGTGAACACTGCCTTTGGAGGGGCTGCAGCCCCAGCCTCACAGGAAGTTGGGCTCCCGCACCACGAGGCAGGGCGGGCCCCCGCTGCCCCCACCACCGTCCAGGGGCCGGTATATGAAGTGGAAGTCGCGCTTGGGCTCGCTCCGCAGCAGGTAGCCCTTGATGCGGTGCGGCAGCGCCTCGTCGGCCAGCTGGAAGCAGCGCCCGTCCACCAGCACGAAGAGTCGGTGGTCCTGGGGCTGCACCACCTCGAACTTCTCTGCGCACTGAGCGCACAGCGCCTCGGCCAACGTGTCCGCCCGCGACGCCAGCGTCCGCGACTGCTGCTCGGGCTCCAGGTACGACACGCAGATGAAGTCCTACGGGGCGAGATGCAGGGGGCGTGGGTCACCAGCGTCGGGTCTCACCCCCGTCCCGATGCTGGGAGCTTGGACAGGAGTGAGGAGCTGCGCGGTCTTGAACAAGTCCTTTGTCCTCTCTGTACCCCAAGGGTCCTCTCTGTAGAGAGCGGATGGATGGCAGGAGGGGTCGTGAGGCTGGCAGTCGGGGCACCTGCAGCTGACCCTGCTGTCTGATCTCAGGCAAGGGCCTTCCCTCTCTGAGCCTCAGCTCCAGCTCTCGATGGGGCCGACCATTCCAGGGCAGTCGGTCGGCTTGCAGTCTCGGCAATGAGTGAGAGCGCCCGCCCCCTGGTGGCCAGTCCACGGGCTCGCCATCATTTATTCATCTGTCACTCACCTTCTCATCTCTTCCTCCCTGAGCCCCTCTTCCTCCCAGGCGCTACGCTGGGCACGCAGGGCAGCATAAATAAAACCAGAGGTTCAGACCCACCCCCAGCATCCATGGCTCAGCTGGGGCAGCTAAGGCAGGTAGCACCGTTCAGGCCTTAGGGCTGGAAGAGCCTGGGGGTGAGAAGCGTGGTGTTCCGAGCGGGGAGCAGGCAGGCGGGGAAGGGCAGCGGAGAAGACTTAGGGGAAAGGGACTGGGGAGCTGGGCCTGAAGGATGGGGGCTTTAGGACAGGTGGAGGAGCTGCACCTCATAAGCTACGTGGGCAAGGGTGAGGCGATGCCTGCGAGGCTGGGGATGGGAGCATTCGCACAGAACAGCACACTCACACCTTCCTCCACCAGAGATGGCGGGAGTCCCTGCCTGGCTTTGAATCTGCTCCCACTGTGTGACCTACACCTCTCTGAGTCTCCATTTCCTCAGCTGTCAACTGGGGATAAAACCAGTCCTTACTCCGTGGCTGTGAGGAAGCACATAAAACTAGCTCAGAGCCTGGAAGAGTCCCCCTTCCCCTGAGGACCCAGAGGACGGGTAGCAAGTGGTGTGTGCAGGGCTGCCCCCTCGTGGAGAGATGGTGACAGCACAGCCGTCTCCTGAGAAGAGGAGGGGGACCATGAGGGCGATGACCGCTTCCGAATGGTGGTAATTACGGCTGCAGAGTAGTGAGTCCATGGGAAGGGCAGGCTCTGTGTCAAGAGTCTTTCTTCCGGGAGAGGAAAGCCCACCCACTTCCTTGGGTCTCAGTGGCTGCCTGTGCTCTCCTTGTCCCCCGTTAGGCCTCCCAGGGGCCCTTTACACCTGATGACTGTCAAGCTCTGGGCTTTCACTCCCAGGGGAGGGATTTAGGGCATGGGGTGCAGAGGAGGCAGCGGCGGAGGAGGAAGAGGGTGGTGACCTCCCCACACCCCAGAAAGAGTGCTGAGAAGACTCCTCATCCCAAGCCTCTTCCTGAGCTTCGCCTCCCTAAGCGGGAGGCACTGATGCTCTGCCTGGCTCAGCACTGGGAATCCACAGGGTGGAAGCAAGAAGTAAGGAATGCCTGGGTCAGGCTTGGACCGAGAGTGTCCATATTCCAAGAGCTGGTGGAGGGACAGCTGTCCCAGGAGGCGGTGGGGAGTGGTGGTGTGCTGGAGCTGGCACTTGCCAACTCATGCTGGCTCATACCCGCTTCCCACCTCCAAGTTCAGTGATGCCAAGTTAGTAGCTTGAAATCAGCCATGGTGGGAGCATTTATACCATGGAAATCGAAAGAAGCTGAGATCAGAGGGGGTTTTTTTTTCCCCCTCCCCAGAGAACCAGTTACTAAACATTATCAAGACACCATTGATTAGAGGAGAGGGGACATCAGCTTGGCCGCCTAAAACAGGTACTGGGGAGGCAGCGCTCAAAGAGTCCAGAGTCCCCCTGTGCCGACAGGAAAACTGAGTCCCAGAGAGGGCAGACACTGCTCGGGGTCACACAGCAAGCTAGTACAGAGCTGGGTCCATACCTTGAGCCTCTTGCCTCCCAGGCCTGGGCTCTGCTGGTTACAGAAGGGCCATCTGGAAAGCCAGGCGTGGGGTTCAGGTCCAGTGAGCTCTGGGCGCCGGGTGAGTCCGTAGAGCTATTTACAGCTCTGGATTGCAGCCTGGCTCACCGTCCTAACTCTGGCCATTCTGCACGCACCCCAGTCTCACTCTGTCCCAGGCCCTGGGCTTGGGACCCCTAAGACACGTGAGCAATGGGCCCTGCTCTCTCAGGGTGATAGCTTCATACACAGATGGTTACAATACAGTGTATATGTGCTGGAAAGGGCGAAGGAGCAGCAGGAGGCACAGAGGAGGGCATCTAACCCAGGCCATAGGGGATGAGGGGCAGGAATGGAAATGGGTGGGAAGCACAGGTGGGAATGGGCCCTCGTGGGCTTCTCACCGGGACGACTTACTGTTCACATCTCCAGCCCTAACAGCCTGCTGGGACATCACAGGTGCTAAGGAAGAGTGGATAAATGTCCCATATCCCTACCATGTTTGCCCACCGAGGCCTGCTGATACTTTTGTAATCTCCACCCCTTAACTTCCACTCCCATCCCCCAACCGCCACTGGGCTGGGCACACGCTGGCAGGCGAGAGCCGGTGTCTTTGCCTCCCACGTGAACGCCCCTAGGGGCTGGGCTGGCTGGCCGGAGCAGCCAGTCGGCGTCAGGCTTGTTAGCCGGCGGGCAGTAGGGATGGTCTGGGGCAAGGTCCGCCAGCCCCCTCCCACCCTCTGTCCCAGGCGTCCCCCCTCCCACCCTCTGTCCCAGGCATCACCTGCACGGAGGAGCGGGAGGCCCGGGCCTTGTTGAGCGTGCGCCGGCGCTCCCAGCGGTGGATGGAGTCCTGCACCTCCACGCTCAGCTGCCGGGTCACCGTGATCTTGTCGTAGTTCTTGATGTGCTCCAGGGCCCCGTAGGTGGTGGTCAGATAGTAGGAACCTGCGGGGGGAAAGCGTGTGGAGGCTGAGCCAGGACCGCCTCCGCCCACCCGCAAAGGGAGGGGGCTGGTCCCAGCTCGGCCCGCCCCGCCCACCTCTCTAAGCCCCGCCCATCGCCGCTGCAAGGAGGTGCCTGCCGCCCCGTTGGTCACCGGCCCAAGTTCAGCTCCGTGCCCACCGCAGCCTCACAAGCTTCCTCAAGTCCAACCCTGATCTGTACGGCCCTGATCAAAGCTCGTTCCTTTTGGGACGTAACTCTTGCTTGTATTTAAGTGATGTTTTAAAATGAGTGTTTAGTTTTACAATGATGAGCTTTACAATGTAAAGATACACAAGAACCACGGATGTCTTTAGGGTGGGGAAAGGGGTGCCTTGGAGACATGGGTGGGTGGGAGACTCCTCATTGTATGTGTCATATATACCCTATTTTAAAAAACGACTTAAAAACATGTGGAGAAAATTTTAATTATGGTCATACTATCACACACTCTTTTTTAAAGATTTAAGGAAAGTAAAAACTTTGATTCGTTTATTTCTCCATTTCTTTTTACCTTAAGTTAATTCACACATATTCCTAATACCTAATGTTTCCTAATTTAAGCTTTGAAATACTTCAGACTACAACATTTACATGAAGTTTTAAGATAAAAGATAATAATTTGCACAGATGCTTACAAGTTTACTCTCCTTGGCTTGTTGGAGGCTTTGGTTAAAATGTTTGAAAAGCACTAGCCTTGTTTCACCCCTCACTCTAGAGGGGGCAGGGTGACTTGGCCAAGGTCTTGCAGTGCTTTCCTGGGCCTCCTTCCCACTCACCAAGCCTCTCCCCAGCCCTTTGGGTACCAGGGCAATGAGTTTTGACATGAGGCCCATCTGCTAGCGAGCCACCCAAATCCCATCTTCTCTTTCTTCCTAATTAACTGAACTCTACTTTTGTGAGGTAAAGCAGCACTCAACTGAAAATGCTCATTTCCTAGATTCTCTTGTAGTTCAGGGTACAGGGCAGGAGACCCCGTTCTGGCTACTTAGATGTAAGTGGAAGTCTCTGAGTGGCGCTTCCAGGAAAGCCTTTTGCAAGGGACAGACTCAGTTACTGTATCCCTTCTGGTTTTTGCCTGTCCCCCTTCCTCTTTTCTGGAACACAGAGGTGAGGCTGGAGGCACAGCAGCTGTTTGTGATCAGAGGTGATAGGCACAAAGACAAAAGTTCACATCCTAAAGAGCAATGGAAAGAGCTGGGTCTATGATTTCCTGATGGTGGGGCTAAAAACTGCCATCATTATCAGCTGCTTACCCCAGGACTTCTTGATGCAAGAGACAAACCAGTCCTTCACTCTGATTTAAACCATTATTAGTTATATTGTGAATTATTTGCAGCCCAGAGCATTCCTAACTGCTCCATTGGATGAAGCTGTCTACGTATTCCTACAAATTTCACAACCAGTTTGGGAAAAGTTCATACGCTGACTGGGGTGGGCGGGGGATGAGATAAAGGGGTTTATTGCCACAGGATCACTCGCCCTTTCATGGCAGTGTAGGAAGAAGACAGTTTTTGCAATAGGTATATCCAGGCCAACATGGAACTTGGCTTGGTGTCCCTTATCAGAGAAGGGCCAGCAGACCTCTCATGGGTCTCCTTTTCCAGCCCAGCTCAAAGCCTGGGTATGCAAGAAGCCTTCCTTGGTGCCTCCAGCCCTTGCTGGCAGAGAGCCCTGTCCTCTAGTTGGCATTCCCCCATGGTCCTGTTTCCCATCGTGATCACATCCCCCTGGCTGGGAAGGGAGGAGCTGAGTGCAAGTGTGCTGACTGCGAATGGTCAGTTTTGGAGTCAGAGAGCAGGGTTTAGGTCTCAGCCTTCAGCAGAGAGCCCTGTGCTCTCAGGTGAGTTAGTGTCCTCTATGCTTCCATTTCCTCATCTGTAAAATCCATAATGTTGTGGAAGGTAAATGAGATGAATACACATAAAGTGCAGTGCTCAGTAACATGTGAGTATTGCACGGTGACTAGGTGACCTAAGGGAGCTGCTCCGGAGGTTCCCCACCCTCTTGGGCAAAGGGGAGGAACTCTAAGCCCTGCCAGTGCACTCCTGCCTGCTCGAGCCTTGCTTTTTTTTTTACAGCCTCCTGGCTCTCCCAGTAGACTTCCCTTGGACTTGGGGGTTCTGCAGTTCCTGCCATGACCACTAGGTGGCAGGCAACTCCTCGCACTGTGAGTTTTGGAGTCGAGTGTTCTCTACAGGGAGAGGGTGCTGTCCATTGACGGGAAAACCTCATTGCCTCTCTTAAGAGATTACTAGCCCAGGATGGCCAGCTGTCAGCCAGGGTGCAGACGGGATGTGGGTAAAGGAATCTATGAGGGTGCTTCTGGAGAGGTTTGTATTTTGAGCTGGCTCCAGCCAGGTGCCCAGCAGCTGCCTGGGTCTCCCATGTGCCCTGTAATTGCCCAGAGTGGTGGGAGCTGCAGAGAGAGGGGGGAGAAAGGGGTCAGGGCCCCATCAGCCCAGTGTTCAGGTCCTCTCTCCTTCTTACAGGAAGTCCCTGATCGCTCACTCTCCAGAAGCCTGCTGCGAAAAAGTGGGACCCAGTCACAATCTTTGCCAAATTCCAGCACGTGGAACCAGCTGAAAGAATGTGACGGTCTTGCAGGCTTTTTGGTGAATGCAGATCTGTTTGTTCAGACTGTGAAACACAAGAAGGCAGAGGCCCGCTCCATCTCTCATCCTTCCCCCAGCTGCCTCTGCAGAAGGTGCCCAGATGGTCTGAAAACCCCAAATCTAGCCCAATGCCTTCCCTTTTCCAAGCCAGAGAGGTTAAGTGACTTGCCCAAGGTCTCCAGCTGATCAGAGGCAGAACTGGGACCAAATCCAGCCTCCAAACTGCTCTTTTTTCTACACCCTGTGTTAGTTCTCCTCTTAGGATGAACAGGGACTCCCCAGGGGCCTGCCCTTGTCCCGGGCATGTCTGACTCTGCAGAGCACCACGGGCGGGGACTGGCCAGCAGGGGCTCTGCTCCTCCCCACCCCGCCGCCTCCCAGGCAAGCCCCTCTTTTCACTGCACCTCAGAGGCTTTGGTGACGGAGCACCCTGTGGGCCACCACCCAGCAAAGACAGGAGGGTGAAGCTGGGGAAACTCAGGAACACTGGCTGCCTGGCGCTCCGTGCTCCTGCTCTTGGGCCCAGATATGTCTAGATGGAGGTCTACCAGCTGGCAGACTTGGGTGGAAGCCCCTGCCCATGCTGGAGACCCCCAAGTCATCTTTCTGTCGGAGTCCAACACCTGTGAGGCTGGGCTGTCCTGGCTGCTGTGACCTCCCACCCTGGCTATGGGCGTAGGAAGAGAGAGAGGCACCCATGCCACACAGCCCACCTCCTGGTGTGGGCAGCATGGTCCTCAGAGCTGCCCTGGGCAGGGTCTGCTGGGAGGGGTGGTACGTGGTGGCATGCGAGGCTCTGCCCTGCCATCTTTTCTTCCAGCAAACATCCCATAGATCCCTTAGAAATTTCCCCACAGGTCCAGAGGTGGGGCGGGGGCTCTGACCTTAAGTCTAAAAGGGGCAGACTGCAGGGTATTCAGGCAGCTTTGGGTCAGAAAGTGTGAAATATTTAAGATCTTTATGTATTCATTTGTACTTGGCTTGCCTCAAAAATACTTAATGTAGTCCTATACATAAAATAGATAGGCGACAAGGATTTACTGTGTAGCACAGGGGACTATATTCAATATCTTGTAATAAGCTATAATGGAAAATAATCTGAAAAACATATATGTATAACTGAATCACTGTGCTGTACACCTGAAACCAACACAGTCTTGTAAATCCACCACACTTCAATTTAAAAAAATATTTAATGTACCCCCGAACAGACTAGCTCTGCTGCTCGCAGGACCTCAGCTTTCCCACCCGAACCCCCTGTGGGTCTCAGGAACAGGAAGAAGGATCGCAGGAGGCTGTGGCAGGGTTGGGGTCGGGGGGCTTCAGGTCCATAAGGAGAGGGTAGTCGGGCCAAGGATGTCCCCGTCCCGTCCCTGTTCGCCACTGCACCTGGCCTGGAGTCCTGTCTGGCAGCAAGGATGCAGGCTGTGGGCGGAACAGGAGCCACGGCGGCCATGGCAGGGCTGACCACTGCTAGAGAGCCGGCCAGTGCTGAGATCAAGTGCAGAGCCCCACTGCCTCGCTCCATCCTTCCACCCACCAAAGGGCTCTTTCC